AGCGATGTCATCGATGTATCTGTTGCAGTTGCTGATTACGAATCAGCACAGAAACTTTTAATATTGACTGAAAAGCGTGAAGTTGTTAAACCAAAAGTTTTAGAAGTGGAAGAGCTGAAACCGTTGAGTGAGATCGAAGTGAACGTTTGCTTTGATGCAGATATTTTTGGGCATTACAAAAGCGATGTTTTTGAAGTTTCTACCGAATGTCTATCTTCTGAAATTGTGCAGAAGACTATTCATATGAAGTCGCGTAAAATTGTCAAACGATCGGAATCAATTGAGGATATTTTGAAATTGCCCCTTGAGGTCGAGAACAACGTTTGCTTTGGTTTTGAATTTCGTCGAGGTCTTGAGAGTGACGTTGTCGATGTTTGCTTTGCGGTCTCTGATTGCAAATCGCTACAGGAAACGGTCAAATTAGAGAAAGTACGTGCAATCGTGAAGCCGGTTGAAGCTACTATCATGAGTGAGATGCAAGTACCTGTTACTGCGAGGGAAGTTCATGTCGATTCTGACGTTGTCAAATCTGCTGAAGTCGATGCTATTAACGTTTCGTGTAAATGTTCGATTTTCGACTCGATAGAAGAAAGTGTCTTGCTGGAGAAATCGAGAAATAATGATGTTCATGCTTGCATGCAATTCCTTCCTGGTTCAAATAAGCTGCCTCAACAGGAATCGAGTATTGTAGTTAAGCTCGAGAGAACATGTGGCCATGATTTTTCTGATTCCGTTCTTAATCTGTCTGATTTCCTCTTCTGTAGTGTGCATTTGAAGTGGCCAATTAAAGTTAAAGATATTCACAGACCCGAAAGGCCCAAGTATTTAGGTCAGTTGGAACCAAAACGTTATGATGAGATTCCCGTTGTAACAGTCGCGGTCAGTTTTGAATTTGTGAAGCAGAGGACACAAAAAATAGGAGTCGGTAGTGTTTTTAATTCTGAGCGGTCAACGGAACAAATCGAACTTACGGAGGATATAGTAAAGTTAACTTGTCATATGCATGCTGTAAGGCATTTTTCTATCTTCGACAAATGTACTGTTTTCAATTTATGTTATTGTGGTGTCCAGACTGAAAGCACAAATTTTGCTGTCAATAATTCATTGGAATCTGTTCAGTTGACAGATGTGCTCTTACCGGAGAAAGTTTTCATTAAGATTGCCGCTCATCTCAAAGAACAAATCAGAAAAACGGTGTCAACAGTGCAAAAGCCAGCACTGATTGCACATCCTCAGTCCGGTAATTTCTTCAATATAGTTGATTTCTTGCTACTGACTTTGACTTGATATTTATTAGCGAAATATTTGTTAACATTGATGTTTTAGAATTAGAATTCGAATTAGACTGAACCTTTTAAGTATTTGTTTCGTTGGAATCTCACACAGCAATGGTAGGATTAATCAAGCAGAATATATTGTGACGTTATTTGTTTTGAAGTGATAGCTGACATTGATGTGGAAGCAGGAGAAGAACTGGCAACAACAGATGCTATTGTGGACGTATTAACATCATTTGATAAAACGAATTTATCAGTGACTGAAGTTTCATGGGATGAGATTGATGTCAAAGTTTCATTAGATGCAGTGATGGATGAAGAATTCATTGAAGCGACTGGACCAACGTTTCACTATCAGGTGAATCTTTTTTTGTATGTTGAGACAAACCCATACACTCAATTTCTTTCGTTAACAACTGTTTAGGAGAAAGGGTCGATTACAAATAAAGGTATGCCTCCTGCTTGAATTAACAAAACATCCAATAGTCTTACTTTAACTTTATATGGCAGTCAGCTTCACACTGATAATTTGTAATGTTATAAGGCATAGTCAACTCATAAGAAGCTACTCATGCTTGTTCACTGTTATACAATTAGTTTTTTATCCGAATGCAAACAACTTATTTCTACAAGTGACATATCAATAATTATGCTTCCTTTTGCAAGCAGTACAAATGTTGCTATAGCAGATATATTCTTTTATTTGTTAAATATTAGAAATATACATAGCTAATCATTCCTGGTTATTTTAGCTGGTTTCATTGGTGGTCAGTATTCCCTCAGTGATGGTTTCACGTTTAATTCATGAAGTTAACACACTTAATCTGCATGAGCAAGCTGAAATTGTAGTGGCAAAACGTAGCGATACTGAAATGCAAAAGCTTAGTATAAGGTTGCAGAAAGGTGAATAGGAAATCCATTCATATAATTTACTAATTTGAACATAAAACTCTATTTGAATGATTTCTTAAAATAGAAGCATATTACTGACTGATTGTCTTACATTATAATCGCTGTAACCAGCGTTCAAGAATATTTTTTGCTGAAATCAATAGATAATTCGTAAAAATATTGAAGCCTTAAAGTATGACAATCAATCTGTAAATTTTATTGAAGTATAGTGATATAATTAAAAATAGACTAATATGGTTAATCAAAACAATAGTAAATCTACTATTGTGAATATCTATTTTAACAGAGGCTAACATTTGTGCCTTGTTTATCATCAGAGTATAATGAATAATTTTCTTTACAGATGAAGTAAAAAAAGTGGATAAATCAGCAAAAGAAAAAGGTACTTTCAAATTAAAGTTATTTCCAAATTAAAAGTTAACAATGTTTGTGTTGCATATCAATTACAGCTGATTTATTTTTTACACTTACACCAGTTAAGATTGTCTAACAAGTACATTTCTTATTTTTATGTAGTGTCCGCTTGAAACGCTTTAAATTCAAACTTCATGATTATTCTTGATTGTTTGCAAGCAAAATCTGTAAAACCAGAAAATAATTTACTACTAAAAAATCTTGTAAAGCAAATAAAATACAAAAGCACTCAAAAACTTGTTTTCTATCTGAAAAACGACAAGAATGAAAAAATATGAAATCAAAGTGAAATTTCCTGCATTGTTCAAAGGAAGTAATTATTTTTCTCACCTTATTGAATCTTTATTCTTTTTTAATCACCGAATTGATAAGAAATGTTAGATGAAAATTGCTTTTAAAAAGGGATCTGACTAAGTTTGTGAAGTAAATATTGCCTCATCATATTTCTTCGAAAACGTGGAGTGATTTCTGGCGAAAATAGCACAGTTAAAATCACTGTAGTGCAAAATGAAAGCTTTTCGTTAATTTCTTAATTTTTTTCCATTAAACCTCTTAACAATAGAATTATTTCAACGTCAACTTGTTAATATAATTAATTTTATTGGGATTAAAACTGTGAAGAAAAAAGACTAATAAAGTATAATAAAGTTGAACTGAAAGCTATAGTGGAAGGTAACAATACAATTGGCGGCATTCTGTCTGGGATTGACATCACTCTAATTTTTTTCGTTTTGATATTGTTTTTACTGTTTAGTTGATTCCCTGGTCATTTCATTCATTTCATGCATTATATATAACCAGCTGACTTGATAAAAGCAAAACTAATGTAGAGTCCTGTTTGAAATCTGATATCAATTTGAAAGTCCCTTTTTGAGTTTGCACAAAATGTATTAGTGTATTAGGAGTCTTATGTTGTTGAGTGCGTTGCGAGCAGCATGAGAATGGTAACTTGTTTTCTGGTTCTTTACCTATTGTATTTACAACGATAATTTTTAACTTAAATTTATTTCAGAAACCAAAATTGAAAGAATGATGGACGAAAAATTGAACGAAATTACTGAGGTTGTCCAAATTTTATTTCCTCTTTCTCTCTATTTTGAAACAAGTTCAGCCTATTCTCACCTCTTAAAATATTGCAGCTATTTTGCTACTTTTTTTTCAAAAAATTCAATCTTTTCTAAAATTTGCAGGAAAAGAAACAGAAGCTTGCGAAAAAGAGAGGAAAGAAAACATCCGAAGGGTTCAAAGGGATCAAAACAGAACAGCAGGATGAATATGAGAATTTTACATTCATTTTACAACAAAAAAGCATAGAAAGTGACGTACCATCTATCTCAGAGTTGACTGTACCACTGAAAAAGATGACAAGGAAAGCATCAGAAGCGGAATTTGAAATGGAATCTGATTTAAAAACTACTTCTGAAGATGACGCTTCAACCTATACACCTAGTGCAGAAGATAAAGCTGAAAAAGAAATTGGTGAGAAAAAGAAAAAAATACCAAAAGCGCTTGTTATCCCTGCAGAAATCAATTCGAAGTATGGGGATAAGAGTGTGCTTGTATCACAAACGATTGTGACTACGGAAGTGACTATGAACGAAGAAGTAGCAAAAGTTGAAGCATCACCAAAAAGTTTACTTTCTGCTACATTTTCAACAAAAATAGATTCTGTTAAACGTGGTAAATCTGCTAGTCACAAATTCAGTTTCAAAGGTGATACTGAACATGACCAAACTGGCTTACCACCAGTACCTAAAGCAAAAGAAGAAACAAAAGATGTAGAACTTGTATTTGGACAGAGTGAGGGGCAAGAAAATGCGGAAAGAATCCTTCTTGCCCAACTTGTTGAAGAACTTGCAGTAATTGTTCAAGCTACTTCAAAGATGCACGAGCAAAGGAAGAGAACGGGAGAAGAAGAATTGGATAGAAAGGAGAAAAGCTCTGAATTGACTGAAATAATAGCAACGTTTAACGGCGTAGAACAACTTGAAGTTTTTGAAATAATTGCTTTGCACATATTAAGTGAAGGAACTGCATTAAAGGTACAAATGAGAGATCTTAAAAAAGGCAAAAAGTTACTCAAAGTGCCAGCAATGGATGACAAGAAGATTCATAGTGAAGAAGAGAAGAAGAAAATTCAACCATCGAAAGACAGAAAGACTGAGGAAGATGACAAATTGGTTACAAAAGAGAAATTTGAAGAGATATGGTTGAATTTCGAAACAGAAAAATCAACTCACATTGTGAAATCAGAAGAATATACTGAATTTGAAGTTATTATAAAAGAACACACTGAAAAAATTGACTTGACAGTAAATTCTCAAGTGAGTAGAAAAGTTAGAAAAGTTAAGAAACCCGTATTCACAACAGATGATACTTTAGAAGACTTTAATGCTACAGATCTCACACTGAAACTTCCAAGTAAACAGAGAGATGTTGCAGAAGCAATTGAAACATCTGTTTCAGTTAATTTACCTTTGGTTAGGAAGCTATCTGTTTACGATGAATTAGCTAAATTAGAAGAAGCACCGAGTACTGTAAAAAGTAAGCAGAAAGAATCGTATGACAGCGTAAAGAAAAAGCGTTTAGGATTTCTTCAGATTCCGGAGCAGGAAATTATTGCGTTACGTGGTGATACTGTTACAGTAGAATGTGAACTGGTTGATCAAAGTGATTTCTTGTGGCTTATCAATAATAAAACTGTAGATCAGAATTCAAAATGTGTTGAAGAAGTCGATGAATTGGTAAGAAGATTAAAAATAATTAATATCGCACCAGAAGACAATGAGACGATTATAACTGCAAAAGCTGGTGATGTTGTTGCTGAAACGGTCATACACGTGGAAGATACGCCAGCAGAAATCACTGAGCGCTTACCGCGTCGTAGTTTTGGCAGATGTGGAAAAGATGTGACACTTTCTGTTACTGTAACTCATCCTGCACATACCGTCGTCTGGAAGTTCAATGGAGAAGAACTGCCAAATGAACCAGAAAAATATGTCACTACTAAAGACAATAACATTTACACGTTGATAATCAAAGATGCTACTTACGATAGCGCTGGGCGTTACTCTGTACAAATAGATTCATCTGAAACTTCTACAGTTCTTGTTATGCAAGGAGCGCCTGTTGTTGAAAACCAAAAGCCTGAAAATATTAACTTTGACATTTACGAAAATTTAGTTTTAAACATTCCTTATAAAGCAGAGCCCGAACCAACAGTCGACTGCTTTTTCAATGGAAAACCACTATTTCTGGGAACAAAGCTGCAACTAGAAATTACCAATGATTTGATACGACTTTGCAAACGAAGAACTAGTAAGGATGATTCTGGCGAATATACTTTCAAAATTAGTAATGAATTCGGCAGTGTTACCACAACATTCAATGCTGTTATAAAAGGTAGAGTTTCGTTAAATGTCTCATTAAGGATGATTTAAATTTTTGGTAAGTTTCTTCTTAATTGAATAAAAAAATCAAAAAAGTTTTTTTTAATATTTAAATTGTGAGTTTCAATTACGGAAAATTAAAGTAAGTTCTATGATTAATTTTCAGGCGTACCTAATGTTCCTCAAAACTTGCGATACACGAATCCCTTCGTAGACAAAGTAGGCTTGGAATGGGACGCACCAGTTGATGATGGAAGCGGTGAAATTACGGGATACCTCATTCAGAAGAAGGAAATTCATCATCGAGCATTTCATCGAGTTCTTCAGGTAACATCTTTTGCCTCTGAAAAGTTAATTAAATAAATGGCCGTGAAAATACTTTGACCACTTTTATATTATTTTGATTTTAAAAAAAATAGTAACTATTCTATAACCTGTTTCTCACTGCTGACATGAGTTATGTTCAGGTACAAGAGAATAAAACCAGTTGCCTAATTGAAGAACTTGACGCGGATACTGAATACATTTTCCGTATTGCTGCCATTAATAAGTATGGCATAGGAGAATTTGCTGAATTTCCAATTATACGTACTTCTGTTGCAACAGAAGAATCAAAAGAAAAACCAGAATCGGAGGAAAGTATACGAGAGCAACTATATGAACAAGAATCACTGGAAAATGTTGAAATTGAAATAGTAGAGAAACTGAAGTCGGAAAAGGAGAGAGAAATCACTGTATATGAGATATTTGAACCTCACGAAACAAAATCAGCGAAAGTTGAGAAAAGTATAGAGGAATGCCAAGTTATGAAGGTTTCAGGTAAAGTCGACAAGATACAAGCAGTTTCACTTGAAGAGAGATCAGTTCTCCCTGAATCTGATAATAAAACCACTTTGACGGAAAAACAGGAACTTGAGAAATTAGAATCGGCGGCAGAATCTGAAACGAAGAAAACTTGCGTAGCTCAAAAAGAAATTGAAAGATTAGATACTTCTGTAGTGGAAACTGAGCTTTTGAGTACCACCGAAAAGAGTGAAGAGATTAGTTTGAAAGAAAAGCCAAAACATACGAGACAAAAAGGAATTAAGAAAGAAAAGACTAAAGAAAAGAAAGTTGCAGCTGAATCTAAAGGAGAGTCACCAGTGAGTGTTGAGATTCCGACTGAGTACTTTAGCGTGAAACTCAATGAAGATATTGGAGATGAAACCGTCTTTGAAACAGTAAAAATTGAAACAGAAAAAGATAAAATTGAAAGAGACGTTGATGAAAAACGCATAAAGGACAAAGTGATCGAAGCTGATTTATTCCTTCAAAGTACTGCAGCTGTTAGAAATGTTGATAAATGCGTTTCACTTTCGGACAGTGAGGCAGTTGTCTTGAGCTTGAAGGAGATTGCAGTGGCGAAAAGGAGAAAGTTGAAAAAGGAGGAAAGCGTGACCAGAACAGAGAATCTTAAAAAGCATCTAGAAAAATCAAAGAGTAAGAGAAGTAAAAAAGATCTGAAAGGAGAATCTGATGATGAAGATAAAGTTTCGATCACATTAGTTGAAGAAACAATTGACGCAGAAGCTGGAAAATGGATCCATGAACAACTTCTACGGAAACCTGAAGCAGAGAAAACTGAAGAAGATGCCGAGAAAAAGCAACCTTTTGGATCGGATCATGTATACGTTAAGAAAGCTAGCAGTCACGACATAACCATTAACATTCCAAGAGTTACGACATGGGAAACGCCAGAATCAGAAGAAGTAACACAAATTGAAGAAGTGCCATTGAAAACTGCTATAAGTAGTATTGGTACAGGAGTTTCAATCATACAGCAAGTGCAGAAACGAAGATATGGCTTTGCTTCTCCACCTGATCAAGAAATCATGGCATTCCGGAATGATACTGTAAAAATAGAGTGTGAACTTTACAACGAGAAAGACACGATTTCATGGACAGTTAATGGTAAGTCAGCTACGACTGACACCCGATGTAAGGAAGTTGTGGATGGATATTTAAGAATCTTGCAAATAGAGAAGGTTGTACCAGACGATACAGGCACAATCATCACAGCCAATGTTGGTGAGCATTATGCTGAAAGTCGTTTGGTTATTATTGAAATACCAGCTGAAATCACAGAAAAGCTACCGCACAAAACTACTGGTAAATTGGATAATCAACTGAAGCTATCAGTGACCATATCACATCCAACGCAAAACTTTGAGTGGTTCTTTAACAACGAACCAATATCTGAAAATGACGTTCAGTATGAAGCTTATCTTGAGGGCAATATCTGTGAATTACTCATTAAAAACCTCACCTATGACCAAGCAGGTCGTTATACAGCAAGAATAAACTCTGCAGAAACTTCAACTATTTTAACTGTTGAAGGAAAACCAGTGCTGATACACGACCAAGCAGAGATAAAAACAATTGATCTTGAATCTCAAGAGAATTTAATGTTGACGATACCATTTAAGGCTATGCCAGAACCAATTTTAGAATGTCTTTTTAATCACGAAAAAATTTCTGATAATTCAAAAACACAACTACATATTTTTAATGATACAGCATGTTTCTGTAAACGTAAAGTGAACAGGAATGATACGGGTTTGTATACGATCAAGATCAAAAATGATTATGGCGAAGTGTCACAAACATTCTCCGTTAATATCAAAGGTTACTTTCACTATTAAGAATGATTCTTAAGTAATAATTTGTTATTTAGGATAATGCATAGGAATTATCTTTTTCCATACGAGCATGTTGAATTATTAAAAATTGATCCTAAAGATGACAAATTGACAGATATTAACATTTAGAAACAGGCATTAGATATCTTCAGCACAAATATTAAACATTTTACTGGTAGTTTTTCATTGAATTTATAAACTTTTTTGCTCAGTGAGTACATTTTTTGATACAATGCAAAAATATACTTACGAAAAGACAAAAAATCACTATTTTTTTACTAAAGTATTGTTTGTATTTTAAAAAAGTTTTTTATGGTTCTTTGTGAAATGAGACAATTTTCAAAAAGTCAAGTCTTTAACTTCCAAAACGAGACTTCGATGAACAAAGTTATACTGTATTATATTTAAAGTATATGTACTGATTCAACCAAAATTCATCATCCTGGTTCTTTGAGAATTTGTATTATCATTAGGTAATTATATTCATTATATGTGTATAATTTCAGATGTTCCTGAGGCTCCTAGTAATATACGTATTGTGGACATTGACCATTCCTCAGCTCAAGTAGAATGGGATTCACCTAGGAATGACAGTGGTTGTGCAATCAAAAATTATATCATAGAGAAAAAAGAAGCAACACGAAGAACTTATCACAAAGTTGCTCAGGTTCATTAAAATAAACTAATAAATTCTCACTTCGCATCTGAAAGCCATTAGATTCAATTTAAATTACTTTAATGTTATTAAAATTACTATAAAAATGAAGAATTTAGGTGTCAAGCAAAAAGTTACACTACTTCATGGATGACCTGAAAACTGATACTTCGTACACGGTCCGCATAGCAGCAGAAAACAAATATGGAGTAGGCGAATACGCAGAATGCTGTCCTTTCAAGACAACTTCACTATATAAAGTACCAACTGTGGTACATCCACCAACTATTAGCAATATTACACAGGAGGTTTTTTTTTTCAGTTCCATTTTTATCGGTGTTTATATGACTAATTTTTTTCTCAATTGTTGTCCGAAATTTCACTGACTTTGATGGCATCGCGAAACTATTTTCATTAGATCAGAATAAATTACAAAATTATTGTCACTTGTTGTTCGAATTGAGATACAGTGATTTTTAATTTTATGCTGAGTTTGCTTTTGATGACCAAAAAATTTTCAAATTCTTAAAGTTTGCATGAGTAATATATATGAATGATATATTCCGGTAAAGAAATAACAATTTAAGCAATTTGATAATCATTTTTTATTTTCATTGTAGTTTCCTTTCATAATTAATGCAAACTTGTTTTAGAGTTGCATTTTGGAATGGCCTGAAGTGGCGGATAATGGTGGTTCTCCGATTTATGGATACGATGTATATTTAAGAAAAGATAATAGTGAATGGATGAAACTCAATGAAGAATTAATATTCATTAGGCAGTATACTGTAACTAACATAGAAGCAGGACCTTGTTACACGTTCAAAATTGAAGCAACAAATGAAGCAGGTTTGACGTCAGACTGCAGTGTGTCATCCGAGCCAATAACAATTGCCAAAGCAGGTTTGCTTTTTTTGCCCATTATATCTGAATTATTTAACATTTTTAGCAAGTACAAATGTTGAATTTCAACTTTTAAATTTATAAACTATTGTAGTAGAAAATTCTTGATTTTTTTGAAGTATGTGTCATTTTAATACTTGCAGAAAACATTTTCAGTTGCAAATTTACCTGTTTTGAATCTTCCAACAATTGAAGTTATAAGCGGAAATGCTGTGCTTGTACACTGGACTGAAGCTGAAAGTGATGAATGCAACATAATATCTTACGTTGTCCAATATAAGTCAGAAAAATCAACTTTTTGGACAGCAGTAAGCTATTTGCTATTTTAATTATGCAAATTCATTAAGTAAAAGAATGTTTATTTTTACCGGTCGTAATTAATAATATTTAAATTTACAGTTTTCACATTTTTTCTTGCAGAAAGAAATAGAACATCCACCTGTCGAGATCGGTGACTTAAAAGAAGGTGTATCTTATGTGTTCAAGATTGCACCTAAATTTGGTTCAGAAACTGGGGAATTTTCCGAAGAAACTATACCAATACGTGTAATTGGTTAGTATAAAAGTTCTTCTTTGGAATCAAAGTTTAAAGTTTCTAGACAGCAATTCGTGGCAAACAGTTTCAACACATCATCATTAAATATTCACTGCAGTTTATATTTCTAATGTCATATTTTTTGAATCTTCAGCAGCCAGAAAACCTAAAATAGTAAAAAGTATCAAAGATGTTTCTGTTCCGTGCAAACGTGAGCTTAAGTTGGAATGTCGTGCAACTGGAGAGCCTACTCCAGAATACATTTGGTATAAAAATGACCGAGAAATTATCCCAACTAGCGAAAATGTTGAGGTACTCGAAACTTGTATTATCATTATATAAAAGACAAACTTTTCAAAAATATTTTCCTTGAGCTTCACAAGGAGGTTTTTCGGTCACAATTTGAATTCCAATGTTAGCATAAAATTTCAGATTATCAGTGAAGGTTATATGAGTGTTCTTTTAATTCATCAAACATCGATGGACGATGCTGGCTTGTACAAATGTGAAGTTGTCAACGATTTTGATTCTGTAGTTTCCACTGCAACAGTCACTATTACAGGTTACCTTTTCTGATTTAAAATATGGCACAGATTAATTTTGTTGACTTTTATTAACATCGTCAGTCATTTTATTTCACAAACATATTTACATGAGGTATTTCCAGAAGTACGTGCTCATTTCGTTACTTCGTTTTCGGAATATCTCGAAGTTAATGAAGGAGAAGAAGTTGTATTTTCTTGCGAGCTCTCTGATGCTGATGCATCCGTTACATGGTTCAAAAATGGTATACATTTATCACCTAGTCATCGGATAATTATTGAAAAAAACGATGTTGAAAGGAAGCTTATTATCAAAGATGCAGTAGTTGAAGACAGTGGCGAGTATGAATGTTCCACGATTGATAGAAGAACTCGATCTCAAGCGGAATTAGTCGTCAAAGGTGATAATTTTATTGTTTGTAAGCCTAAGCTTTTTTGGCTAATAATAATTAGTATTATTAATGAAATCATTAACTTCCAAGCTTTTTTGTATTAACATTAGTTTTCAAAACTATGAATATGATAATAATTTATGCCAAACATCAATAAATGATTTTATAGAAGAACAGCCGCAGATCAAAAGGAGTCCACGAGACCAGATTGTCACGGAATTTGGTAGCACTGTTTCACTTACATGCGAGACTACGAAACCAGTAAAAACTTTGACATGGTTCAAGAATGGTAGAGAAATTAGGTCGCAACCTCAAAAGTTCTATATGACTATGGAAAAAACCATTGCAACACTAACGATTTGTGCTCTTGAACCAAGCGATAGCGGTGAATATAAAGCAGTACTTCATGAAGATGAACAAAGCGCAACAGCTAAAGTCGAATTCAAAGTACCACCTCTGATCAAATTAGCTAGCATTCCACCGAATAATTTGTTCAAATTGCATGCAGGCACCGATTTTGATCTTGAACTTCTTTATGATGGATTTCCTGAACCTAATATCGTTGTGCTTCTCAACAATGCACTGCCTGACAAAAAGAGGTTTCGCATGCATACTTATGCGAACAAGTTGTCGTTGCGTTTGAAAGATATCAGTCGTAGTGACTCTGGAATATTGAAAATCATAGTGGAAAATGAAATTGACCAAGCGAGCTTGGATATTCAACTACATGTTATAAGTGTACCTTCTGAACCACTTAATTTAAGTGCATCCAACATTACTGATCATTCGTTAACACTAAAATGGCAGAAACCAGAGAAAGATAACGGATCTCCAATAATAAATTATGTTGTTGAAAGAAAAATAGCGAATATTAACCGCTGGCGTAATGTTGCAAAACTCGGATGTGATGAACATGAGTTTTTGGTTGATGATTTGTATCCAAATGAAAACTATGCGTTTCGAATTCTGGCAGCAAATGAAGCTGGAGAGGGAACGCCGAGCAACGTGATAGATGTAGCTACTGAAAGTGAAACTGAGATGGATAATCGAAAGAAATACCAAGTGAGAAAATTATTGGAGAAACCTCAAATTTCAGAAGTTATTTTATTTGAAGATAATGATACTGTAGTAATCAGATGGAAAGCAGTTGAAAATGCTGAAGAGTACGTGCTCGAGCAACAGAATGTGGATAATTTGTGGGTTCAAGTCGATGTTGTGGCAAGCCTTGAATATTCTTGTGATATAATGTCTAGTACTAAATACCGAGTTTTAGCGAAAAAGGGGAATCAGTTATCTATTCCAAGTGAGCCTTCAGAAGTCATCACTTATCGTAAAAATAAAGTCCTAGAAGAATCCGAACAAGAAACCCCTTCCGAACAAAAATTAGAAAAACCAAACGATATGGAAGAAGTTCAGAAGAAAGCAGAAGTCACAGCAAAGTCTGAAGTTCTTGATGATAAAATAGATCAGTCAGAAAGTCAAGATGTGAATGAGATGAATAGAATTGCTGAAGAACCTGAAGAGAAAGTTGAAAAGAAACAACAACTGAAATCACAAGATAAACAAGAAGCATTAGTAGAAACAGAGAAGGAAGTCGCAATAGTGCCTGAAAGATCAGAAGAACCACAGAAATTAGAGAAGGTGGAAGAAGTTGATTTTGTCTATGAAGAAAATAATGAGATAAAATGTACAACTGAAAAAATGATACTTAAAGAAGAAAAAATTGATACAGTAAAAGCGAAATTGGAAAAAGTACCAGAAGAAATGTCGAAGGATAAAAAGAAGGAAAAGAAATTCAAAAGTAAATCAGACGAAGAGATTGAGCAGAAAGTAAAGACAGTAATATTTGAGAAAGAAAATATTTCGAACGAAACTGAAAGTAAGTCCGAGGTCAGAAGATTTGAAGTTGAAGAGTTTGGTGAAGATAAGCGCTTTGTTGAAAAGAAGGAGGAAAAACTCAATGTGATACCTGTAAAAGGCACCATTTTAGCTGAGTACGGCACCAAAAATCTCGATATTAAAGTTGAAGTTAAAGGTACTTATGAGCAGTGTATTTGGACCAAAAACAACAGATTAGTAAGCAGGGAACTTGTTCACAATACAGCTACAAGCTCAGTTCTTCGGATCGAGCATGTAGATGAACAAACAGCGGGCAATTATCTGTGCACTGTTACAAATCAATTTGAAAAAGAGCAAGCTGAAGTTGTCGTAATTGTCACAGGTACCGTCAATTTATAATTTGAAATGGTATATAAATACCTCAACCATGTGAATTAACGCATCTTAAAATCCCAAATTAACAGCAGAACTGATTAATACTTTCTTTTCTTTTTTTATATATAGTTTTTTATTCTTAGAATGATAATTTTTAAATGATTAGAAATATTAAGCGGATATTACTCTGACGTTTTTTCCACTTAATTTTCATTTTAGATAAGCCAAAAATAGAGTTTGATTCTGCAATAATTGAATCGAAAGTTGGTGAACCTATCAAGATTCATGCAGATATTGCTGGATTACCACTACCAGAATGCATATGGCTGAAAGACGGTGCTAAATTAGTCACGGATGATAATGTTTCCATTGCATTTAAAAATAATGCTGCTGTTTTAGCGATTAAAAGAGCTAATGCTGAATGTTCGGGTCTTTATAAACTGATTGCTGAAAATTCAAGCGGAAAAACTGAACGTGAGCTCCGTTTATTAGTCAAAGGTTAGTACTGTCGAGTTTTTTTGTTTCTTAGATGACAAAAATTTACGGCTAAATGCGTAAATATTATTGTTATCTTTTTTTCCTTGTAACAAAGGATATTTCACCGAGTTTTGCTTACATAGTATTGAATAATATTTGTCTCCACTTGATTTACAAGATGATTTTTAACTTTTTCTGCTATTGTGGCTATTGTTGTTAAATATTTTTAATAAATTTTTTTCGGCAATGATATAGGAGCTCCATCAATTCCTGTTGGTCCATTAGAAGTGTCCAATATAACAAATGTTTCGTGTAAACTTGCATGGAATCAACCACTATTAGATGGTAACAGCAAACTACTTGGTTACTGTATTGAAAAACGGGATGCTAAGAAGTCAAGTTGGGCATTTGTTATGCGTACAACTTCAACAGTTGCTGTGATAACGGGTTTGTCTGACACGATAACATACCGTTTTCGAGTCGCAGCTGAAAATGCATTCGGGACTGGACAGTATTTAGAAATTGAAAAACCTGTACAACTTGCAAAAATTAGTAGTAAGTTATTTTTTAACTACTGTTACCAGACAATATTTATTTTTATTAATATCTCATATTTTAGATAAGCTTAAAGTGATTTTTGATGATTATAAAATTAACTTGATCTAAACATTTTCTGAAATTGTTGTTTGAATAATTTTTCATGTAAGAAAAGTGAGATTAAATTATAGCATCTGCAAAACCACAAATCGAGAAAGCACCACAGAATGAAACTTGCAAACTTGGGGATAGACTTACACTTTGTGTAGAATTCACCGGTAATCCTAGCCCGAAAGTTCGTTGGTATAAAAATGATAAAGAAGTTGTCGACGACTTAAATATTCATACAACAAAAAGTGAGACAAATTCGATGATTACCATCAAGAAACTATGTCAAAACGATGAAGGAAATTATCAGGTGAAAAAAATTGGAAACTTATGAGAAATTCTTTGTTTGAAAAAAAAGGTCTAGTAATTCAATTTTGATTACCATAATTTAGCGTATTCGTGATTTATTGATTTAAGCAATTATCCTAATGATATCATACCAAAATTTATTTCAAAAGAAGACAATGTTTCAGATTGTTTTGGAAAATGATTGTGGTACT